CGAGGGGGGCGGGGCGAGGGCGGAGCTAAGAAGGGGCGGGGCGAGGGAGGATCCAGCTGGGGGGCCGAGGGACAGCGGAGGAGGGGGCGTGGGGCGGAGCGAGGAAGGGCAGAGGAGGGGGCGGGGCGAGGGAGGGGGCAGTAAAGGGGAGCCCCCACCTGGGGCGTCAACTGGAGGGGTTCCTCCACCATTTGCTGGGACTCCCTCAGGGTGCTGAAATCTTGAATGATGTCCTGGAGCATCCCCAGGTCCTGAGCCTGCAGGGGACAGTGTGACAGTGTGGGAGGCCGGGCCGCATGGACGCCTGGAGCCGTGCGCTCCCCGGGCTCCAGGCGCGGCGGGGCCCTCGCTCACCTGGAAGTCGCCCTCTGTCCTTTCGTCCTCCAGGCCGTCCTTCGGGGCTTGCTTCACCACCTTTTTCAGCTTCTCTGAGGTCACGGACTTGTCGGGCCTGGCCATCCCCTTCTTCGGGAGCTCCCGTGGGGCCATCAGCTTCGTCAAGGCTGTGGTTGGGGACTTTGGGAGCTTCTCGAGCCCCTCCACGGCCCCTGCCCTCTCAGACCCCATCGCCTGCCCCTCCAGCCACTCGCGGGGCTCCAGATCGGACCCGGTGGCCTGCGCGGTGAAGAACTCCACGTGGCTGACGAGGTCCTGCACCTGGTTCTCCACCGTCCGGAGCTGCCTGTCCAAGTCCTGCACCTGCCCCCCCAGGTCCTTCACTTGGCTCTCCAGCATGTGCGAGGACGTTTTGCCCAGGCTCCGCTTCTTCTCCTTGGTCGGGGGTATCTGCGGGGTGCTCAAGGAGTAGCGAGGGGACCCCGGGTAGCTGGACTCCTCGGAGATGAGGGGCTGGAAGTGGATGAATCTAGGGTCCGCCCATCTTGTCACACGTATACCCCTAGACCTTCCCATTCCTATGGGCACACCCCTAGCTCATCCCTTCCTGTGATGCTTATACCTATCATAGATCACCTTCCTCCAATGTGTATGCCTATTGTACTGCCCCTTCCTGTGACGTGTGATTCTGTAATGATGTCCCCCTAAAGTGATATAATGGTTGGTTAGCAATAAAGAGGAACCTCGCTCC